CGTGGACTCCTTTCTGGTGTCATGTTGCTCAACTGGATGCTTAAATCGTCCCCACAGACGACGCCAATTGTTGATGCGTGGATTTCGGTCCTCCGATTCTCCTTCTCGCACTCACCAAACTTGTTTATTTGGGACTAGTACCTGTAAAACCAAATCGAGCTAAACCGGTGTGACTCTAGTCACACGAGCTCCGATGCTTAAGTTAGCAAGAGAGTAACGTAAATGTAGTCAACTTTTAGATGCCCCTACCTCTAAGGCTGGATCGCTACTTATAGCCGTGAAGTTGTTCCAGAACTTTCCGTAGCTAACCCTAATTCCGTTGGAGGGCCTGGGCGAATCGTCGATCGAAAATGGGGATCGTTTGAGGGTCGTGGGCGAAGCCCCGGGTCGGGACCGAGCCCCTCACGGCCCAGTGGGCTTCCCTCCGATCATAACTTGTAGATTTGACTACCGATTCCCTTTGCATAACAGATATACTTTAATGGCCATAAAATTATCTCTTTTGATAGACTCAGGCACAAATCCGCTAACTTCTAAATTTGATATCAGTTATAGTAACTAATCAGTATCAATATAATATAAATAATAGTGATAATCAATCAACCTAGATAATATTGGTATATCGATGCCCATTGGAGGTTGTGTGTGCCTTTTGTTGGATGTTGGTCTGATGGGGACATAATTTCTTGTTGGAGTATGGTGATGATTAAGGACAAATCCTCAATTGGTTCTTCATCCTCATCTTGGTCCAAGAGGGACATAATTTATTGGTTGCATGATTTTTAGCATTTCAATTCCTCACCTTCTTCACTCATCATGTGTTCATTAATTTGGGTATCATTGTTTTGCTTTGAGACCTTTTCAAATAGATCGATTTAGATAGGCACATGATGTATGTGCAAAGGTGAAGAGAAAAAAAAAATGAAGAGAGAATGGAGGATGAGGAGCCTTAAACAGAGGGAGCCAACAAAAAAACACAGAGTTGTGGTCAAAATTTAATGGAAAATTGAAGCTCATGGATATTGTATTGCATTTGAATGTGGTCAACACAACAAAAAATGTCCAACTTATATAAAGTTTATATTGATCAACAAATAAAAGCGATAAACTACAATTTAAAACTCTGAAATTTTGAAAATTGAACCCTAGATTGTGAATCATAATTCCAACAAAGAAGAAGAATCTCAACTTCCATGAAGATGGTGAACTAGAAAGAAATAAAACCCAAACGCGAATGAGAAAGAAGAAGATCTGTTGAAGAAGAATCAATTAAACGAAGGAGAATTGTGCGAGATCTACTGAAGACCCCAAGGAATAAGAAATTAAATGAAGAAGAATCGATTGTGAATGAAGAAGAACCTGAAAGCTGATGTTGCGAAAGAAAATAAGAAAGAGCGTGAAGAAGAAAGACTGCAAAGAATGACCTAAATGCGAATAAGAAGATTGCAATAAGATCTGGAACAAAGGGTAAAATTGGAATTCGAATATAATAATTATGATATTTTGCCATATTTGCAAATTCAAAAAGAGGGTGACATTTGTTTAAATATGACAAAGAATTTTGTCATCCAATACAATTTCCCAAATATATTTAAATTCAAATATACAGTTATTTCCGGATTTCTAGGTAATCGTACGCCTCGAAAGAGGGAGTATGGTTATGCAGTTAAGGATTAAAATGTTGAGAACAAGCTCCGACATTTGATGCTTTAGTTCAGCATTGGCCAAACATGTCTGAACTCATGTAAATTCCACACGTGTCCTCTTAAATGAACTGAAGATGATGTGTCTTCGGATGAATATCCACCTTAATCAATAGCCCACAACTTCAGAAATATTAAAAAATTTGATTTGATTTTTCCGAAGTTGCTCGTGAAACAAACTCGGATCTCTAATCCACGCCATCAAGAATTTTCCCGCTTTTATGAACTGGGGTCACTTAGTTGTTAGGTATTTAAACCCTAACACTACGTGTTGGAATCCATTTTCATCTTTATTTTATGCATTCTCTCTGAAATTGGGTTCAGTCGATTATGGCAAAATTCTCCCTTCTCAGTCGTTCATCGTAGAAGAAATACGTTGAATTTCGCCTGCTTCTTCATTTTCTAGATAGTCTTCTGACCCAGATTAAGTCAAGTTTCTATTTAGTTCTTGCAATTTTAGTTGACTGATGGCTAGGACAAAGATGTTCGATCCTAGCTCGCAGAGGCCTTCTACCTCTCAGGTCCTTCGCAAGATACCTCTAAAGCTTTGTCCTATAGACGTCATCGAAAACATTCTCCTTCCTCTAACATTAGCAAAGATAATTTTGATTTTCATTATTCAAATTGTCCTACAGAGCTTTTAGAAATCCTTAGGTACAACTATTCGATACCCAAAGATATTGAGTTGAGAATTCCAGTAAAAGGGGAAACTATAGATGAAACCCCTGTAGGTTGTGTTAGTTTCTACCCTCAAATGTTTGAATATGGGGTTCGATTACCTCTCCATCCTTTTGCTCAACTCTTCCCAAACATTATCAATTTAGCCCCTGCCCAATTGGCTCCGATTGGGTGGGGGACTTTAATGGGATTTTGGTACATTTGGTGGAGATTTTGTAGTGATAGAAGTTGTATCATATCAGTAGATCAAATGTTAGCTAAAAAAGTCGACCACAGTTTCAAGCCACTTTTACTTAAAGTAGTCTCCCTAGTCTAAGCCAAACTACTGAATGGCTCTGAGATGGAGAAATGGTTTACCTCCATTATGAATGGTCCCACCTCTATAAAGAATTTGAAGTAGATGTAGTTTTATGTGTTTGGTAATTGGTTGATGACAACTACTAAGGGAGCCTCTTATTGTGATGTTCTTATGGAGTTTAGTAGGCTGAGTAAGATTTTAATCTTTTCTGTTTCTTCCTGCCTTGATTCTTTGTTTGATTATCTAACTTTTATTTGTCTTTGCAATGCTTCTTTAGCTATAATTGACCCTCCATCAGGATTAACAAAGGAGACCAGATCGGTCTTAGCCGGTTACGGTACTTTGACTCCTCAAGATTTCTATAACCTTATTCTCTTATCTAACGAGTGTTGGGTGTGTTGCCCTAAACTCGTAGTTTGTAATGATGTAAAAATAGATTTATATTCAATAAAGTTATTCAATCAAATTGTTGTTGAATTCATTGTCCAAATCCAATAAACTAAACATTCAAGATTATTTTCATGTAACTGAGACAATATATATATTGGGTATATATTTTATATACCCTATATACTGGATATATATTTGATATACCCTCGATATAGAGGTGGATAATGTCTCGGGAATAACCTAAAGGGTCTATAGTATATGGATATGGTTGGGTACCTTATCCTGACAAAACTATGGATATGACTCACTTTGTAAATGTAACAAATGACCCGATCCATGACATTTGTGTGGAGACATGCGAGTGGGGATATCTTATACAATGAGTTTGTATAAGACCGGACCGAGAAATAGTCAATCTTTAGATGTAATGCCGTTAACTAATTATATTACTATTTTATAGGATGATCAGACAACTCATTCTCAATCCTGAGTGAGTTATGGACTCCTGCCTACGAGGGCTCGTTCTTTGATCTGTATGGGTGAGAGTGGCTCGAGTCGCCGATTCAACATTCCTACCATTTTGGTGATAAGACCGAGTGGGGAGCTGGGAACATAGCTTCACAAGATGAAATTCACTCATTCCCTACTTTCGGGGAGTAAATGAGTGTTCCCTTAAGTGCTGACTCCGAGACTTGAACAAGGGGCCCCACCCTCTCACTGATCCGAGAGGGACTTCCGGTTATTGGTCGGACCATAACCGGAGTGTTCAATAGAGGAGCAGTGGTATTTAAGGAGCAAGATGTAAGTCAGAGGTAAACGATAATTTGACCCAACTAGAGTTACGAACACTCGTGAATGTTTGACTTGCTGTTAATGGCCGTACATCCGTGGATATGAAAATATTCTACAGTGAAAAGAGTGCAGCTGTGGGTCTTTAGAGGAGTGACCGCAGTTAACGAATGTTGATTAATTTGGTTAATGAGTTTGACCGATTAATCTCGTATCGTTGGAGCTTCTGATTTGTAGGTCCATTAGGTCCCCTTCCTAGCTCACAACGGGTAAAACGAGGATCAAGAATGATGATATAATTTGAAGTGTTAAAATTATTTAAGGGAATGTATATAATGTATATTCATACATTGTATATAAATATATTTTAATTTTGGATAAAGATTCAAAATTAATACTATATATTATGAGAGAAATATTTTAATAGGATTCAAATAATTAGTATGAATTGGATTGATATAAAAAGTATTGCTTATACAAGAGAGATGAATTTGAATATGATTCAAACATTAAGTTTTAATTAATATATATGATATTTAATTGAAAGTTAAATCGTTAATTATTTATTTAATTAATATTTAGATTTAACTAATTAATTATTAATTAGATTAATAATAAATAATTAAATTAATTAATTATTAATTTTGTTATTAATTAAATAAAAAAAAGGAAAACCAACTCTCGTACATAAATGCAGGAGAGTGTGTGGGGGAACCCCATGTCCCGTTTGGTTAAAAATGCAGAATGGTTATGGTTTTTGGTCTCTCCAACCTACAAAAACAAAAACAGAGAACAATTTTTCTCTAAAAAATCTCTCTCAATTCCTTTTGGTTTTCAAACAAGTGCTCCCACAAGCATTCCTTCGTACCCAAAGAATAGTCGAGAAGATTGGTGGTAGTGAACAAATTCATTTGCTGTGGTTTCTTGTAGAAGGTCTTCAAAAGTGAGTTTTATTCCTTTGTTTTTTTTTCCTTCTATAATGTGTTGTTTTTATCCTTAAAATTCAAGAACACATTCTTTACTTCCGCTGTGCGATTAATGTCCCTTCAACGAGAACTTGAGGAACTGTGGCCTTGCTGCTAGGCTTTCTGAAGGTAAGTTTTTGCTTTATTATTTTAATTAATCCTTACATTTATATAATCTGCTTGACGTGTCAAATGAAATTTTGATGCATAAGAGATGTCATCTTGCCTTGCCCAATTCAACAGCAGTTGTGAATGGAATGTTCCCAAAGGCAAGGAACTTGAAGGTTCTTCACAGCAAAATAGGGTATCTGAGAATGTCGCACAGGGAAGTAAATAACCCATGTCTACTGCTATAATGAAGCCGCCAAACTGTAATAAGACTCGATCACTCCAATCGTCTTGCCCAGGTCCAAGAGATTGGAAAAGGAAACTAAATGTCATTGGGGTAAGTCCATCAAGGATCGAAGAAGTTCTTACTCTGAGTGCTCAAGATGCTTTAATTTATCCGAACATCGTGATTCATTTGAATGCCGAAGTCTCGGCTCCTTGTGAAAAGTTAGAGAGTCAACTACAAAGAAAGAGACGTGCTCGTTGTTGCGTCCACACAACCGTGTTGACAACACGTGCAAGTATACACGAAAATTACCGATTGTAGCATGAAATGAGGTCGAATCCACAGGGACTTTGGATTATATTCTAAACTATGTTCGTAGATACCAAAAATATAAAAACAAGAAACTATAGATGATTGTGTTGAAAGTAAAAGAAAATATCATAAACAAGCAGTAAATGATCTCAACAGCAGACACACTTCAAAATGTTGATAGCATAAAGAAGTTACATCACAAAATAGTGAAAATGAGGGTTAACAGATATGGAAAAGTGGGGGAGACATAACATGCTTTCACTGACTTCTCAACCTACCCTCTAGCAGGACAACATTCATTAGTTCTCAACTCGACATGGTTCCCTTCCGAGACACCCAAACACGGATACCCACAACTCCGGTTTCTAAGTTTCCAAGCAATATACACAAGTTTTAAGCATGATTAGGGGACCCCATTCCTGAGCATCCACAAATTACTATAGAAAGGTACTAATCACAAATAGAGCAAGTCAACAAACCGTAAGCTCTCCCGGGTCAATATGGCCACTAGCATACAGAACAGAGTGACCAACAATGTTAGGTAAGATTTAAGAAATAAATACAACTCTATTTAAAAACGAACGAGATCAGCTAGATGTTTGGTTGCTTATCAGCTACAGCTTGTAAATCTCCCAAAAAATGGGGTTTAGTTCATGGAGAAAGAAGAAAGTACAATGGGTAAAGGAAGAAGACAACCAATTTCAAGAAAAGAGAATAAAAACCGAGGAAGAAGATGACAGTTCGAAGCAGCAATCGAATATCCTCCTCTGTTGTCAGCTCTCTCCCCGAAAATGGAGAGATTCCTTCTCCCTTGTCGTTTTAGCTCTCAAAAGTGTGTCTCCCTTGGGATCTGTGTGTGATGGCTAGGACAAAATGTCATTTTTATATCGAGTCTCGTTTTCAGGGTATCCAGCTGAAGATTGTACGGACATGGTAAATTCCTGTGTCTGGGTTGTTACTACGTTGTAACTCCATGCTCCCGCATTGCGTCGCTCCAGCTTTCGTCTGCTCTGTCTTGAACATGCTTCATCCACTCTTCTCTGGGCTCAGCACTCTCTTCATGCTTTGTCCTCTTTTTCCAAACCCGTGCATTTAAGCCAGAAATAAGAGATTTTAGCATAGTTTTTAGCTAAAGCATTCATGACCTAGGACTTTAGCTCGAAGTTCGATTTATAAGATTTTTCAATATGTTTAAGAGCTAGAGCCGACACACTTTGACATTTCTTTATATAAAATCACCAAAATAATTACTAGAATAACTCTCTTTTGGAGAGTTATCACTCGTCCCGAAGAAAAACCTTACATTTCTATTCCAAGAAGACAAGTAGTAGCACCTTCTTCGTGGCCCATCCACAAGTAGTAGCACCTAGGAACTTGGATTTCGATTGCTAGATCTTGGGTGAAGCTCCGAGAATTTCACTTCAAGAGCTTGCTGAAGTTCAATAAAAACCTCCTCCAACAGACAAAGGTAAGGGAGTTATGGGAAATGATGTGAGAGAAACTTCTTTTGAGTTTCTGGCTCTTTGGCTGAGTTTCATTTCGGATTTCCACCATTTTTGTCGAATCTTCAGGGGGGTGAGGCGTCAGGATTGACAGACAAGATCCACCCTCATTTTCCTAAGGACATCAGTAAATACACTCAGGACGTTAATCTCCCTTCTACCACTGAGCTCTTCAAAGAAGCTCTCTCCCATATTATTAAGGTAAATCAAAACTTACTGCATATACACTTTATCTTATGTCGTGAATTTCGTTTTCACCATTTCATTTTCTTTCAGGGTTTTACTCTTTCTTTTCATGGAGTAGCTCTAGTAAATGTTGAGCTTTCTCAACGTGACTTAGCGAGACGTCAGAACAAAATGAAACTGTCCGAGGTCTCTAAAAGAGCTGAAGTCTACTCCTCCCAACTGTCTGAATATGACTCACTCATGGCTGAATTAAGGAATGAGTAGGCCACACTGGTCAAAGAAAGGGAAGAATTTGCAAATTTAAAGTGTAAAACTACCTTGACCCTTGCTCATGCTAAAAAATGCATCTTAGAAAACAACGAATACAATACTCAGCAAACTCGACTGGAAGAAGAAAACAGTGGTTTACTTTTAGAGAAAGCTGAATTAAAGTCTGAAGTAGATCAGTTGAAATATGATATGGAGAAGCTTACTGAAACTAGGCCAAATCGAACGAACTGTTATTATCCGAGTCGAAACTGAGATCCCGAACCTAGTCTTTACTTGTTGAGGCATAAGCCAAACTCAAATGTACTGAATCCAACCTTTCCCAGATCGAGAATAAACTTCATGAGTCAGAGAATTTAGTCGCCGAATCGGTAGTCATGCTTATTGATGCTGAGGCGAGACTCTCTCGTGCCGAAACACGACTTAGAAATTTCAACCTGCTATATGAGACTATATCCCAATTTCTAGACTTCAAAGATCTTGAAAAAGATTTAGAATATAGCGGTCTTGATTTCGCGATGCAATGGCTAAAGAACCACGTGCCTGAAGTTGACACCGAATAACTGATATCCGCAATTGATCATGATTGGGAAATTGCTTCGGGTGGCCTGAGAGTCCAATCTTCTGAACTCCTTCAAGTTGATGTAAATCGGACTTCTCAAGAAGTTGAGGCTCATGCTCAAAAGAGGTTGATGTTCGTGAAATTGAAGAGGTCGACCCTTCTTCTTGAGCTTACGAAAGACAATGAACACATGCCATCCAACTCCGCAGCACAACTTCCACCTATTCGAGAAGTTGAAGTTCGCGAGGTCGAATTGAATGCAAATTATGGACTTGCCTGATCTATTCGAAAAACTTAAGTAGCTCCAGCTTTTCTTTCTTTTTTATATTGTATTTCCGTACTTGTCCGAATTATAATAGATTTCGAAAGGTTAAGACTTTCCACGCGTTCATTATTTAATGTTTGAGATTATATGAATCCGATTTTCTAAATTTAATCATCACTTTCATTAATTGCGCACAGCTGTTCACACACATGCATTTAGAGCATCAGTTCGTATTCCGAAGTGGTCATTAAATTACGTATCGCCCCACCTTCCATTATCTTTTATATTTAAGGGACGTTTTCCCCTTTCTTCAACTTATTCAGTTTTTATTCTCCCCTTCCTCGAAAAGTGAGGATGTTTGAAGAAGTAATGGGTCTTTGGCTATTATTATGGAGATTTTCTCTGATTCTTCAGGGCAATCTTCCTCATCTTTCTCTTTTTTTCTCCTCTGTCTTCCTGCTCCAGCAAATTTTTTTGCATACCTTTCAACGAGTGAAGGGCCTTCAGTAGACGACATGCGCTCGCTAGCTCGGCTTCCCACATGTCGTGAAATGCGTCAGGTGATGCGTAAAATTATCAAGCTAAATGAGGAGCTCCAAGATTCCATCATCAAGGCACTCAAATACGAGCTTGAGTGTAAGGAGTTGAATAAGGAGAAGATGGTTCATGAGCAGCAGAAATCTGCTTTAGAACTGAAGTTCGCTTCACTGGAGGGGCGCCTTCGCTGGGGTCGCGAATGTAACCTTGGCATGTAGCGGCGTTTTGGCTTTATCAACTGTTTTTTTTTTAACTCGCCTCCATGTACCCCAAAAAAAATAAAAACTATATAAAAACTTTTATCTGCTATTCACATGAGTACGATACATTTTACATTTTTTTTTTGTTTTCGACAAAAATTAGTTGAATAAATTTACAACAGAATCGTAGATTCGAACATTTATTTGAAAGTAGTTACAATAGCCGAACAAATGAGACAAATAAGGGAATGAGCCATTATAATGGTAGTCCTTAATTTGATCCATTTTTGTATAAATGTTGGTCAAGTTACAAAGATTATTGATAATATGCTTTCAAATATTCTACATTTCATGGGTAGGCCAGCTGATAAGACCCTATATGAACAACCTCTTTGATCTTTAATAGTCCCTCCTAGTTCGGTTCTAAAGCCACAGTTTTTTGTAGAACTTTCTTTAAAACCAGGTTACCTACTTTGAAGCTTCGATGTTTAACCTGTGAAATACAATATTTCTTCATTCGATTTTGATATTCGACATTTCGTAACTGGAAAGTATTTTATTGTTCTTAAAGTAAATCTAAATTTATACATAAGGCCTCCAAATTTTCTTGTTCGTCAAATGGTCTGTCAATACGTTTAGATGGCATTTCGATCTCAATTGGAACTACAGCTTCTGAACCAAAGGCAAGGGCATTTGGTGTTTGATTCGTGGAGCCCCTAGGCGTGGTTCGGTAAGACCATAGTACCACAGGAAGTTCTTCTGCCCAACTTCCTTTCACTTCTTCTAGCCTTAGCTTGAGTCCTCGCTTTAGAATTTTGTTGAATGCTTCGACCTGCCCATTTGCTTGAGGGTGAGCAGGTGATGAAGTCACATGCTTTATCCCAAGTTCGGAACAAAAGTTTTGAATTTTGCATTATCAAATTGTTTTCCATTATCATTTATTATTGTGTACAGGATACCAAATCGACAGATAATGTTGTGCCATACGAAATTACTAACTTTAGCCTCTATTATAGTTGTAAGCGGTTCAGCTTCTGCCCATTTTGTAAAGGAATCAACTGCTACAATGGCGAATTTTGTTTGTCATTTCCTCATACGGAGAGGTTCAATCAGATCTATTCCCCATTGTGCAAGCAGCCAAGGGCTCAAAACAGGGGTCAAGTTTTCTGGCGGCTGCTTAAGAATGTCCGCATAACGTTGGCATTTGTCACTCTTCTACACAAATTTCTTCGTGTTCTTACTAATCTCTGGCCAATAATATTCTTGTCAAATTATCTTAGTCATTAAGGTTATAGCTTTGGAGTGATTTCCACAAATCCCCTCATGAATGTCTCTAAGGACATAATCTGCCTCATTCGGTTCTAGGCATTTGAACAATGGCAAAGAGCCCTCTTTTATACAATTTTCCATCCGTGATCAGATGATAATGAACAACTTGTCTTTGTACCTTTTTTGCTTCCTGTCGATCTTCTGGTTGAATTACTTGCAAGAATTCTATTATTGAATCCGTTCAACAATGCGTTCCGACTGTAACGTCACACTGTTCGACTTCATAAGTAGATGGTGAACTTAAAACTTCAATTAGTATAATGCGTGTGAGTTCGATCTCATAGGCCGACGCTAATCTCACTAATGCATCCGCATTAGTGTTTTCCGATTTAGGAATTTGTCTGATCATGAAATCCTTAAATTGTGCCAAGCTCGCTTGTGCTTTTTCTAAATATTTTACCATTCTACTATCCTTGGCTTGAAATTCCTCGGTAATTTGGTTAACGATAAGTTGAAAGTCACTTAAAATTAACAAACATGCCGCTCCCTTACTTTGAACGATCCGAAAACCTGCCAACAAAGCTTCGTACTTTGCCTCATTGTTGGAAGTTCAGAAGTTAAATTGTAATTCGTATTCAAAACGCGTCCCTTCTGGAGACTGTAGTAAAATTCCGGCACCACACCCATTTTCATTTGAGGAGCTATCGACATATAAAGTCCACTGTTGTTTGGAGTCAGTTGTTATTTGCCCTGATGTTAATTCGGCAACAAAATCAGCCATAACTTGTCCTTTTAAAGAAACATGTGGCTCGAAGAAAATATCATATTCACCCAATTCTATGGCCCACTTCATCGGTCTTCTCGGAGTTTCAGGATTTTTAAAAACTTGTTTCAAAAGGAAATTTGTCAGAACCACTATCTTATGAGCTTGAAAGTATGGTCGTAACCTTCGAGCAGACGTAACTAACACCAGTGCTAGGTTCTCTATGCTCAAATATCTAGTTTCTGCATCCATCATGGACTTACTTGTATAATACACCGAGCTTTGTCGTCCTTTGCTGTTTCGAAAAAGCACTGAACTAACTGCTGTATCCGAAACTGATAAGTAAAGATATAGATGATCACCTGGTTTAGGTTTCTATAACAATGGAGTAGTTCCGAGATACTCCTTTAATTGAAGAAATGATTTATCACATTCATCTGTCCACTAAAATTTTCCTTTAGTCTTGAGGATTTTGAAAAATGGCATACATTTGTCAAGAGATCGAGAAACGAAGGGGTTTAAAGTAGCTACTCGTCCATTTAAGCATTTGAGTTGCTTTAAATTTTTAGGCGATTCCATTTCGAGAATAGCCTTAATTTTTATCAAGTTGCTTCAATTCCTCTTTGATTGACCATAAACTCTAAGAACTTTCCTGATGACACTTCAAAGGTGCATTTACTAGGATTGAGTTTTGTTATAGGGAACAAAACGGTCAAAACGAGAATAAAGGTCGGACCGTGAAGAAACCCGAGGTTATAGACGACTAGGGTCGGCCCATAACGTAAGGGCCGACCCACCTCGGCGTCGAGCCCTCTTCGGCGCCGAGGTGCCAAGATATCTTGGCCTTCGGGTTGGGAGATTGCTCTATCTCTCCCCCGATTCCTATGCCAACCAATTGATACCCCTGCATGGTGTCGAGCCCAGCATTCTCTCTCTTCCATTGTTTACGAAACATTGGGCCTTCACAACGATCATCTAGGACTCATTTGGAAGGTTATAGAACCTTCCAAGCGACTATAAATAAATCATGTTGCCTAACCCTAAGGTAAGCAAGAATTACACCGTAATTACTTTGCTCATCAACTCTCCTCTTGATAACTTAAGCATCGGAGCCCGTGTGACAAAAGTCACACCGGTTTAGGTTTTGTTCGGTTTTGCAGGTATTCGATCCCTTGATCATTGAGTTTGGTGCGAACCTCAGAGGCAACCGGGAGAGCATAATTCACGCATCAACAAATTTCATCTTATAATGTTGTAATACTCGAAAAGCTTCTGTGAGGTTGGCTATATGTTGTTCGGATGTTTTGATTTTAACCAACATGTGATCGACATAGACTTCCATATTTTGGCTGATCTGTTTATTAAAAATCATATTAACTAGGTGTTGGTATGTTGCTCCGACACTTTATAGGTCGAAGGACATTACTTTATAACAGTAAAGCCTCTAATTGATTACAAAGGCAGTATGCTCCTGGTCGGGCACATGCATTTTTATTTAGTTATATCCGGAATAGGCGTCCATGAATGTTAGTATTTCGTGCTCTGCATTCACTTCTATTAATTGATCGATTCATGATAATGGAAAGCTATCTTTTGGACATGTTTTATTTAAGTTAGTAAAATCAACACACATCCTCCACTTTCCGTTAGCTTTTTTAACCATTACTAGGTTAGAGAGCCATGCAGGGCAATAAACTTGATGGTACATGGATGAGATGGCCTGCAAGTCATAATGTAAGGCTTCTCAAGGATGGTGTTGTAAGCAGAAGCTCCGTCAATCACAACGAACTTAGTGATTGTTTGAACTTCAACATCTGAGTGCGATATGCCCTTCATCACAATGTCTGCTAGCTTTGAAATTTTTGAATTTAAATCTGCCACCACATCATCATTTGCCAAGCCTTTAGATGTCGTCGATGAAGTAGCCCTGGACTTTGACAATTGGTGCTTATTGCACGAGATTCTTTCTAAAATATCGAAGGCTTCAGAATAATGCTTGACAATATTGCTCCGTTTGCTGAGGCATCTATCACCAACTGCGTAGCCTCATTCGACCCATTATAATACGTTTCAACAGCACGATATGCTGTGGTGTGGACATTTTTGGAGCAGTCCCTCAAATTGTTCCCAATACTCACTCAACGATTTTCTCCTGGGAGTTGCTAAAAATTGTTAATCTTGCTCCAAAGCTCAACATTTTTTTATGGTGGGAAATATTTCATTAAGAACTTCTCAGCTAAATCATTCCATTAGGTGATTGACTCGGCTGGTAGTGAATCCAACCATACTCCAACAGTATCCCTCAGAGAATAGGGGAATAACTTTAGACGCATAGCCTCCTTACTTACTCCTTCTACCTTGAACGAATCTGCCACTTGCATGAAATACCGTAGGTGTCTATAAGGATCTTCTGATGCAGCCCACGAAATGGCCCTACGATCTGGAGCATCTGAAACATTGCGGGATTAAGCTCAAATCTATCGGCTTCGATGATAGGATTTGCAATCACTGGGTTGAAGTCATAGAATTCTGGGGCCGCATAAGCTCTAATTTCCTGCTCAATATCATCCACAAGAAAAATATCATTCAGAGGAGGTGCTGAAGCATATCTTCCAGCTACATCCTCTTGTACTCTCTCTACTCTCAACTGTGGTAGATTCGATGGGTTATCCATTTCAATGTCTTCTCTACGCTAGACTCTTTGCTCGGCCCTCCTCCTTCTAAAAGTTCGTTCAATCTCTGAGTCAA